AATAAATAAATTTTTAAAAATAAATATTTTAATAATAATGCAAAATTATTTTATTACAATTTAAAAAATTTGAAATTTTTTAGAGTTTTATATATAAATATCCACTCTGGAAACTTCTAATAATAATGGAGCACCTCTGGAGTTTTATGCCCAAAAATCTCTGGAGATCTTTGCCAAAAAATTTTCCTGATATATTTGCATTATAGGTTACATTATACAAGAATGCATATTAATCAGCCACATGCATACTTGGATATAAAAATGATCTATAGAAACTCATTGTTAAATCACATATAATAAAACAGGTCACACAGATTCTGGTTGGTTTTAACATCAGTCAAAAGAAGAAAGATCTTTGCTATCCAGAATATATAAAGACACTGAAGGAAAGCCAGGAATCGATTCTGATTGGTCCATGACTTCAATGGAAAATGTGAATATCTACCTCTTCTTGAAAAATACTTTTATGAGAGATTTGGAAGATTTTGATGTTTGCACAGTTGAAAAAGTAACAGGCTGTAACAAACTTAAATTCATGAGAAATTCTATGGATTGTAAAACTAACGGCTATCAAAAAGTATAACTTGTAATGAGACTGATGATTAGTATTAGTGTTATAATAGAAATTACAGTAGGTGAAGTTTGGGAGAGACCTAAGACCTCATTTTACCAAGTAAATAATATCACCTGTAGGCCATATCTGGAGAGTAGTTAAAAATGGTCACAATAGGAGACTATATATTATTTGCATAATACATTATTGAACCATCTGGATATTAATACATGATAATTATGCATAAAATAATCAAAATTAGAACCAATCCTCTGAGAACTATATATGGTAAGGATTATTTACAATACTTATCATCATTAAGTGGCAAACAAGACTATACTAAGGGATATATATCACAAGTCCCTTAAAGATTGAAAAAAATAAGAAGTCTGTAGTGGGCTTTTGAAATGCTACTGGTCTGGGTAAAGCAGGACAACTAATAAAAATAGTGTTATCATGTAGTAAAATTGATGAACTTGATTAGGATAGATAGTTTAAAAAAAATTATATAAATTACTCATGTAATCTGAAAAATGTATTACCAATTTCTCAATAAAAGATCTATTTCATCAGTTGGACTTTAAAAAAAAAAAATAAATAAATAAAAATTCTAATATTAATCTATAGAAAAAAACATAATCTTTTAAATTTAATTTAAAATATAAAGTTAAGACTTTATTTTGATTAATTCAAATTAACTTAATAATTTCTTATATTTTTTAGTTAATTATTATATTAATAATTAATATAATATTGTAAAAATTTATTTGATATTTTAATAAAGATATATTGTAATAATAAGATTATAGATTAAAAAAAAAAACAAGTTTTATAAATATTTTTAAGAAAAACTTATATTAAATTCTTAGATAGTTCAGAATAAATAAAATATTTCAATTAAATATTTTTTATAAAAAGATTGTTAACTTAAATAAAAAATTTTTAAATTGATTTTTATTTATTTATTTTTAATTTAATAATTTATTGTTTTTTGAAATAATTAATAGTAATAAATATAAATAATAATTTTGATAGACAGATTATAATATCAATTTATTAAAAGATTGTTTTTTAAATTGAACTTAAAAAGTATTTAATTGAGATTTTGTTCTATTTAGTTTAATGGATTTGATTTTTTAATTAATAATTTACAAAGATTTATTATATAATAATTAATATTTTGCAGTAGTAACTTGTATGTAATAAAGTAATAGTTTGAAAAGTTTTTATTTGAACTACTAATAATATGATAAATTACTCCTGAAGTTGCACTTAAAGTTTGTATAATTTATAAATTATTTAATAAAGTATACATGACTAATTTAACAAAGAGTAAAAAAAAAAAAAATTATATAATAGTCAATATAATATTGAGGATATTTATTTAATATTTTTAATAAAAATATATAATATAATTGTAAATTAAAAAAAAATATATCATTTTATTGAAACAAATTATTTACCATGCAAAACAGATTTATATATATTTCACTTTATCTCATAAATATAAACATCAAATCCTTATTAAGATTGCAAATCAAGTTTGTATATTTTTTATTTATAGTAGACTAATATTAAGTTCAATTACATAAGCTATTAAATAAATAAATTTTCATAACAGTATAATAGAAAAAAAGTGATTTCTACAAATAAAGTGGTTCTGCAATATGAATAAACTTTTAAAGTCCAGGAAATTTCGGAGACATAATTGTTAAATGCGTAGTACAAAGTTTTTAGTTGATGATTCAAATCCAAGCTGTCCAACCTTCATACATGACACACAAATTATCTACACTTGTAGCTTGCTGGATAATTTTTTCAACCTGCAATTGGTAATTTTTTTTATACTTAATGACGAACCGTGTGCGACGTTAATAATTTATTGGTCAATTATACGTACTTGCTCAGTTACAGTCATTTTAGTTGTAGAATCAAAGTCTTTGCCTTCAAGCTTGGCCTTTATTCGACGAATTATTCCAACTGCAAACGCATTTCGCGTTTGCGCTTGAAATATCAAAATAACAAAGTTAATTACATAAATAATGGGAAATAATAATGAGGTATAATAATTGAAAATTGTTCTCACCTGTAATTCCTTGTTGCATGGTCGCGTCCCAAGCTTCTACTGCGTCTTCTACATTAGTTAAAAATGAATTTCTTCTGATAAAATTGGTAGCTACATTCGCCTGTTCTTCCTTTTGAGAGTTTATGGGATTGCTGTATATATCATTTTGATCATCCTCTTCCATGATATTAATTTCGACTTTTTCTTTAGGACCATCCGTTTCAATAGGACTTGCTGGCTTATAATCTAAACCGGATTTACTTTGAACAGATTCTCCAGGTATATTCAAAGTTTTATAATCACCACCCTCGAGAGGTAAAATTTTCTGCTGTAGATCCTGTCGATTAGATGTATTGAGCACCTCACCTAGAGAGGAAAGATTATCAAATATTCTTGACATCGTTTGGGCAAGTAGAGATATGGCTTGTTCCTAGAATTGCTAGATTAGTAAAAATCGTATTTTCAATGAGCATACGATTTACGATGAATATAAAGAACGCACGTTTTTTAGTCGAAGATTTTCTAAAATTGATGCAGACTCCGAATCCGAAGTCTCATTGCTGTACTTGAGACGCTCGTCGATAACGGTAATGGAACCGTTTATCACGTTATCAATTTCGGAGTCAAGATTAGACCATTCGCGCAAAAATTCCTAAAATTCGAAAAATATTAGTATAATTATACAATAAGACTATTATTCTCAGGTAAAAATACCCACTCACTACCTCTACCTACCTTTGCTCGTGATCGCGCATCTTTTCCGCTGTCTTCGGCATCTATTTCAGCATTGGAGATAGGTTCAATTAACGGAATCAAGTCGATGATGAAACCGCGAATTTCATCAACTGTATTATAAAAATCTTTAGCGATAATCTCAAGATTTCGCGGCTGGTCCAATTCCAAAGACTGATCGATCTATTATTCAGTTGGAGGAAATGACAAACATATATATATATATTGTTTTTTTTTTAAAAAAAAGTGTATTTGATTTTTAAGAAAATCCAACCTTCAAATTTGCTAGTTGTTGACTAATGTCCAACTGTGAATTTTCTTGAGAAATTTCGGAGCGTCTGAACCAAATGATTGCACACATTAGACATCGCACAATATGATAGAACAATGCGGTAAACCTTGAATTTACCCTAAAACTGCCGTTTCGAGTTTTTTAACCAGATGAAGAGTGTCAACATCCATTGCAGAGGTTTTGTCAGTTGCCGTACGGAATGTTTCAAGGTGCAATATGGAGTTGCACAAACTCACAACATGTTTTATCTATGCATTTGACAAAAGGTTATTATGTCATAAATCCAGATCAAGAATATCATTATACTTGCCCTTTCGAATTCTTGAGCAAAAACTATTTGTTGATTATTAACTGCTTCGCTGAAAGAATGCAAAATTTCAGGATTCTCGGCGATCAAAACGTTTGACAAATATTCGGCCACCTCATTTTCGATTGTTCTATATTGCACCGATAATTCTTGAAGAAGTTTTTCTAGTATGGCGAATCGATTGACGTCGTGCGTCAAGTTTTGCAAAAACTTTTTACATTAACGAAGAATAAAGTGAGATCAATAAGTTGAACATGAAATTTTAGACAATAGCATCATTTCGAAATTACCTGACGTCGAATTAAACTGCTCTCTCCAATCAATGGCTCATTTATCCATTCGAAACTTATTATCTCCATTTGACGATGTTGCAAATCCATCTCAACCTGAGCTTTACGCAAATTGACCTAAATGATCGTTGACAAGTGAAAAATAGTACAAATAGCGTACGCGCTCAAATTCTCGTTTTATCACTTACCATCGCTACATAATTCATTTTACTTCCTTGTAAACAATAGTTTTGTACATTAAGCTTTTGAACTTGCATCTCGGCATCAGTAAAAAGTCCCCTTCCAATCATGCTGGAGACAAGGGAAGAGATATCTTCGCAGGTATTGTTTCCAACGGAAATTTTGACTAGCGATTCTAATCGACTGACGGAAACATCGTAAACAAGCTTCACACTAGGAATAAAAATCTCGGAAACACTCCAATGAATCACTTGCAAAAGTTTTTGGAGGGAATCCGAACTTCCCTTAAACGAATCTGCCATTGCTATCGAGGACATCCAAGTAGTGCTTTGATTAGGTTGCTGATTTTTTTCATAATACTCGTAGCACGCTATTAGAACATCGGAAATGACCTTGAATAATATAATGCACAAACGTTAATTTCCAAATTGCATTTATAAATGACCAAAAGTATTTATATAAACCCTACATCAAACTTATGTGCTGTAAAATCGTTCATTATGGTTTCATCGTTCAAATAATTCCTATCTTGAATTGGATTTGATTCTTTAAACAAAACCTATCGCAGCATAAACCATCCGATTATAGTTGAAATAAAACAATAAAAATAAAAATAAATAACAACAATAACAACAATAATAATAACTATAATAGTACCATTATTATTTAAACGAATAAAATAAAGCAATTCACCTGTATTTTGAGAATTGTATCTTTCAACTCCCTAAACAACTCGTCAAATTCATTCACAATCAAAGAAACTCCTTGCGAAGAAGTCTCGTTATAAATGGCTTCACGAATTTGCGTGAATGAGTGATTCTGTAATGTTTGGCGCATATAAAATTCCGTAAATCTTTTTTCTTATGGGTAAAAAAAAAAATTTTTTTCTTTTTCGTAATTACCATAGATTCAGCTATAGACTGAGCTTCCGGATGTTTCGTGCTCCAATAATTATAAGTTTTCGCAGATAACTCGCGTAAGGAAGATATGAAATGATTTGCAGGAGGAGGATAACTGTGAATCAGTAGAAATATCTTTGGGAGAACTATGTTCTCGAAATGGTGCTGCAAGCTGAGTATTATGCGAATCGCTTGTGAAAGCTCAGTCGTTATCGCGGTAATCTTATGAAGAACTTCATCATTCATAATCTGCACTAAAATATATAGACACGTATAGAATAAATAAACGACAACGATCATTAATTTGTAAAAAAAAAAAACTTTACATCGCACTTACTATTCGCCATGTTAATATGATAATACAAGGAGAAAGAGGCTCCCACGAATGTCAAAAAAGATGCCTTATCCAAAATTTCGTTGGACAATGCTCCTCTGATGGCAAATTGGAAGTCCGCATCAAATCCAATTTTAGCGTATATCTCCGACAAGTTATCGGACTTTTGAAGACTCTGGTTAAGTTCCGACAACGACAACAGTATGCTTGTTGAATAAAGATATTGCGCGTTCAAACCCCGTGATCCAATTTCACTAAGAATATTACTGAGCATAAGGTGCAAAGTAGTGTCACTCATTATAGTGTTCGTTGCGGTAACATTTAAGGCTTCCGACAAAGAGGCGCTTTCTTGAAGGATGGACGCAGAAGATATCCTGAGATTTTCTCGAGTTAAATTAAATTCGCTGCTAAATGCATTTGATAAACTTGAAGTTCGATTTATGGCTTGAAAGTCTTGGACAGAGAGCGAAGATTCCAACAGTGTAACTAAAACAGGTGGCCACTTCGCATAGTAATCTTGTGCCAGTAATACCTGAGCTATAGGAATAATTAGAGTACGATAAAACTGTAAACGTTCGAGACAACTTTTGAAGGCTGCGTTCCGCTCATTCATCCATCCCATAAGATCCTGATCGACTTTGCCACACCGTTGAATGATAAATTCATTTGCTGCAAGGATCTGTAGGTAAGGGGTAAAAATGGACACCCCGATCTGGGAGCTCGAGGAAAAAACTTCGTTGTATATGACCTGAAGTATTGGTCCCTGAAAAAAATGTGAATAATAGTAAATGAAAAAATAGGTAGACAAATAAAATAAAAGCATTCATAATAATTGAAAATCAAACTTGAAAAACAATAGTTGTCCCAACAAGTATACCTGGATAGATTGTATTGTTTTCTCGTGTTGAGCATGCCACAGTGCACATTCACTGGCTCTCTGGGAAAGAGCAGATTTAAGATTTTCCAATTCCACATCATTTTGAATACCGACCGACTTCAGATTATCAGCACCACTACTAGAACCCGCTTGATCTGACGCTTCGGTTTGCTGATTACGTATTTTAACTTGGTGCTCCCAGGTGTGCTCGAAAGCTGACGTAAACTCTGACAATAAATTTGAAAGTCGTTCTTGATTTTTTTCAATAGGGGCTCTTAATTCGGCTATATAGAGAGGAATGAAAACAGAATGTTTAGATATGCTGAGGTGGTGATATTAAAGAGATTGATCATCATCATTCTTTTGTTACCAATTCTTGAAGTCAATAATCCCAGGTTCTCTTCAACCTCCATCATTTGCTTGTTTCGATCTTCGAATGAATCCTGATGCCAATCTACTAGAGGGTCATAGACAAATGCTTCTAATAATGTGGTCAATATTTCTTTATTTTTCCTCAATACACCAAGAACGATTTCACAGGCAATCCGAAAGACACCCTCGACTCCTGTAACGCCAAGGGCCGCCTCAATATTTTGCGTAAGACGGAAAGGTACAGTTTCAGGAACTTTAAGCTTTTTTCCCTTTTCAAAGCAGATATTGTAATCAATGTGAACGACTTCCCCAAGATCGAAATCTATCATCATGTTATCCAAATGTCGATCCCCCAGTCCAATAACATATCCTATTACTGACATGACAGCCAAGGACCGCGATAGTGATGTCGACTTTTTCCACCAATCCGTCGGACTCGCGCATGAGGACCAAATTTCCTTTTCCAATAGATCACGTGGAGTTTCCGATAACAATTCAAGGAACACGGACCTCAAAACGATGTGGGGCCAATTACGCCTTGAAGTTGTAGGTGCCCATCCTTCCTTTTTCAGAGCCTTTCCGATTTTTTCGAAAAACATGTCGCTAGGTCGTTGCGGTGTGGTGGATGGTTCGTTGTTGTTTTGCAATATCGTGGCGAAATGTTCACGATGCTGCCACTTTTTATAAAGCAAAAACATTTGCGTAGCATTTTCGACCCACTGGATCATCCCCGAATGATCTCCCAAAGGGATGACGGCGTAATTCCGTGCTCGCAGATTACGCTGGCGCGATTGTTTCTCTCGCCTGAACAAGTCATTTGTAATTTGCAGCAACTGCATTATTCTCTCATCCAGGTGAAGATCTTCCAATCCCTTAAAAAGGTATCCGTATTGTTTTCCATCCGAGCCACGAAGAATCAACTTTTTAGGCTTGGTTTTGGTAGGCAGTATGACAACAGCTTCGTCAAATGATTGGATGTACACCGAGTCGTGGTGAGATGGAAGGCCAGGCATGGCTATCTGGGAAGAGTTTATCTCACTCAAGAATGGGCTTATGTCCGCCAACTTCAAAGATCGACTTGATTGTAATTCCTTAGTCAGATGTTTGTGGACCTAACATAAAAATAAAGTACGAGGGTAAATAAATTATCAGGGAATATGGACGAAAACGCGAAGAAAACACCCACCATGCGCAATATCTCCCAACCCTCTTTGTATGTCTCTGGGGAACGTGGAGTCCGCAAGAGTTCAAGCGCATCATGAATGCGATTACCGAAATTATCAAGGAACCATTTTTCATGTGGAGTCGACGCAACCGCAACAGTTTTATTGCATAGACGTTCGATAGAAGAGATGATGGGTTTCATGATAGCGTCGTAGCTCTCCTTCATAATCCGAATCCTTTGGTCCGATGAAAGATTGAGATTATCGTTGATCCTTTCAAATTCGCGTTCAATTTTGTGAAATCGTTTGTTGATGTCAAGTTGCAATCCACTGATCTTATTAAACCAAAGTTCCTCGAATAGCACCGTTATATGTTGCAGCTCTCGGATGACATGCCGAATTTCAGCGATCAAAGCGCCATTAGTGTTATCTAGGCTTTCGGCAATTTTTTGAAGCAACTGTTTGTTTTGCTCGCTAGTTCCAGCGGAGTTTGAGGCCACGACAGTGTGATACACAACAAGCTGCGGCGAATTGGAGGCTATGGCGCATAACAATTTACAAAGATAATGTTGGACGAAAGGATCAGGATGATCTAGTCGTGAAAAAAGTTGAGGAATGATGTTCTCCCAAGATCGAACATCAATATTATCAAATCCCGCCATAAATGATGCCTCTATATGTGATCCGTGTTTCACCAGCAACCTCAATAATCTCAAGCATGCTGTGGTCTTATCCGATTCTTCAACACGTTTGTAATGCACACGCTGGAAACAAAGGATGCAGGTTGAAAGTTGGATCTGATTTGGTAATGAAGATGAAGATGCAAAACACGAACGTACCTCTCCGCACTTTGTGTCCTCTTTACGGCAATTTGCAAACTGTAGAAATTTGAAATAACCATCCACCGAAGATCTATAAGAATCAAAAATTTTCTCTTGTATTTCTTGGAGGGCCGTGGCAATCTCGTTGACGGAATCTTGTGAAACCCACGGTAAAACGGCTTTAAAATCGTTGTTCAAGTCTCCAAGGCCAAACTTTGACCGATGACTAAATTTGCGCAGGAATATTTTGAAAACGCTCTGCGACCACAAGTAGAAACAAAAAGAATGAGTAATGGCTCGGTTGAATAGTTGAAGGTTGAGGTTAACTCCATTTTATTTTAAGAACATTATCTTTACTCTAATAATCGCGTCCCAACCAATCGACTCATCGGCGTTTAATGTTTTCCAATCGTTTGTCAAAATTTCTTGAATGTAGCGACGGAGATTATGCAACGCGCTTGTGGAAATTTTACCGCTACCCAATTCCTCCAACATCTTCCTGCCCCTCTGATAATGATAAGAAGCATACGTGAACCAGGCTTTTCCGCAAGAGCTTTCACCATCAACTGCGCGTGACAGGCATGACTCGGTTAAACCAAGCCTGATGGATTCATCATTGTTCTCGGTCTCAGGCAAACCTCCGTCGGTCGTCGGACCATCAAGGGTAACTCTAATATTGGATAAGACCTCCTTATTGAGTTGCAACTCGGGATTTTGCAACCACTTTGATAGTTTCAAACAAACCATCTTCTTCAGCACATAAGAGTCTGATGACTGGTTTACGGTGTTTTCAATGATACGGGAGTTATCATCACTTAGAAGCGTACAAGCGCGTAATATCGCTTCTTGACGTCTCCCTTGAGCAAACAAGGCTTTGGCATGTTCGAATACGACTTCAGAAGGCATTTCTCGCTTCCAGTCATTGAGAATGGTAAAGGCATTATTAAATGCCAAGCATTTCCTCGATACTTTGGCCAAAAAGAATTTAAACGCATCAAGCTGACTCGGTGACAATAAACCAATCGAATCTTTGGAATTCAAATTTTCAACAGCAGTATTTAATGAATTCCAAATCGCCAAATCGTCAACAAAGGTATCGGCGAAAGAAATTTGTTGATTAAAAGCAACATAATCCAGGAATTCTGTCAGAAAGCATTGAATACTTGAAGAATCAGATTTAATTGCAACTTCCTTTACCAATAAAGGAATATTATTTACATGAAACGAAGAATCGATTACTTTCTTTAAAAATGACAATAAGGATTGACGCTCTGAATTTGCCAAATCCGAGGATTCGCCAGCAGTTTGACTCAGACTCTCACGGAAATTGAAAAAGGATGAGACAAGGTCTGCGCCGCGATGATAAACGTAATTTTGTGTTATTTTCATTGGGGCATCTTTGATTAATTCCCATGCGTTAAACTTATCATCGTCATGATATTTTTCAAGTGCCATTAGGTAATGAGTATTCCATTGCAACAGTGGATCAAAAATCAAATCGATTGCGTCGTGTGAACTTAGCCAACTCGATAGTGAATGCCAATTCTCCGTTTTGCAATAACCATCGATTATCTGAAACATGAACCAGGCTGGATTAAATGACTATTTTTTTTTTTTTTTTAAAGAAAGTATTCTCCACAGATAAATGACGACCTACTTGAGAATGTAAAAACTTGGTGTGTGGATAGGACGTGTGCATCTCGGCACCGTTTTCAACAAGGAAATCGATTCCTTCTTTTGTCGCAAGTTCATACTTCAATTCTGCAAAGAATCGTGAACCGGTCATCCACGAGAAATATTCTGGACTTGAAATCAACTTGTCCCGTTGTAGCAATGTACCTAATTTTACAGTATCATGACATTTAATTAATCGAATTGCAATATCACCAACATAAGCATCCACTTAAATCAGCCGAACGCACGAATTGTCTGTGGTGATGATTCTACTCTTTCGGAGGTTGAAGGTGGTTCGGAATCAGGAACTGAAGGTTCTTGTTTGTCATTAATCGATGAAATACGTTTTAACCAAGCCAACAAGCCGATTATATTATCAGCTGCATTTAATTTTTGAAGGCACTGGACTGAAAAAAGCAGAATGAATAAGAAATCCCTTTGAAATAAAGCTATCATCATGGAAGTAGAATCGAGCATCGATAATCACCAACATCAATCACGATTTGTTCAAAGTCTACAAAAAACGCCGTTTTATTTTTCACCAGACCCTGCTTTAAGGCGGCCACACATTCGACTAGGGTCTATATAATGGATGCTTCGTGAAAAAGGGAACGAAATGAAATGGCACAGTACAAGAGAAGTACCTGATAACCGTGCCTAGCGGCCAAGGCATAATCGCCGGAAATCATTGCTCCTTTGACAATGCTCGTCCTGATTCGAGAAAACCAATCATCGCAAACTTTACGATTCGCCCGAAAGAAAACGATACTGGCTTTGGGAGCTTGAGGTAATATTCCAAGTGAAGTCCCGACGGTGGCATTGTATATCTGAAGTTCTAGGCGATCAAAAATATTTAAAATTTCGCGAAGCTGCGATATATTCGACAGGCTAAAAGAATATGTGTACGTCGAATTGGTAAGATAATGAGAGTCGCGTTTGCAAGCGTGTCTTTTTCTCACATCAATTACCTGTCGTTTAAAACATTGGTAGGCATATCGCGTCCAACAAATATCGTCCAATCTTGCGCTAATAAATCGTTTAATCTCTTTTCAAAGACATCGAATGTCTAGAAACAAAGAAATTTTTTCATCAATCGGAATGTGTCTTTTTCGAACTGTCATATTTAAACTTTTTTTTTTCGACAAATTTCGTATACCTGCTTTGGCCCTCCGAAGGGAGTCCGTAATCTGGACAGCACACAATAACGAGCCACTTCCCATACAGTCCAGAATACGAGCAAGTCGTCGGAATTTGCGGTAACCGTGGAGATATCGCCTGGTAGATGGGCTAATTTCAAATTTTATTACCATCACATATGCATATATGCTATTTTGTTAAACCATAACCGCAAACTTATTAAAAAATATGTAATACCGGGATCTCGACGTTCCTCTTCCGTCGACCTGTTCCTGTCGAACATTTCAATACCCTGGCAAGAAAAGAATAGGCGGCATCGCCACTGACTCTTTTCGCTCGTGTCATAAATGTGGTTGTCTGGTTCATCTTGAGCAGACAAGAACTCTTCCATTCCAAGATTTTTCATCGCAATTTGAAAGTGCTGTGGCCCGAAATTCCCAGAGTGAGGGGTTGAATACACATCTTCCTAGAAAAACCTTTAATCATTTAGTTTGAACTCATTTTAATATCCTAATGTATCGACGTAGAAATATGAATGAATAATTTGTGAAACGAGATTCGCACTTTGAAATTTTTAACAAATGGATCTGTCATACGGTTGAAACGGAAGGTGAAGTAAAAAGGGTTCATGCCAAATATCAACCGCGAAAATTCGGATCGAATCTTGGCATTGGTATCGCTCAATCTGAAAAAGTAAAGGTACGGTAAATTTTTTCATTCCGAGGAAAATCCGATTCTACGATAAATGGTCCGTACCTATCAATTATTCTCGAAAACACCCTCTCCTGCAAGCGCAAAGTTCCGAAGACATCAAAAAAACAACCAATTATTTTAGGTATTTGCAATCGAATATTGACATTCTTGACAATTCCTAATATGCATTCACGTTCCCTCAGCAAAATTCGTCAATGTAAAAATGTAAAACGAGAAGCATACAAAATCGATCATCACCTGATATATCGGCAAGGACGAAAATTATTTGACCGATCTCTTTCTGAATTTCGGCTTTAGATTCAATTGAAGAAAACGGATGACACTTGAAAAAGATCAAAATATCTCGCGTCCATTCGAGAGTCAATGTCTGAGAGTTTAATGATAGTTTCCTCTGATCTTGTAGGAGTGCCGACATGATCGTGACTGTGGCATAAAATTCGGAAGACGCTAAATTTTCGTTCTCCGAGTTGATAACAAAATAATCTTTGCTGAATAATAATTGAATAAAATAAAATAAAATAAAATAAAATAAATTACATTTAAAAGACCATCAATAAAGATTTCGCGATCATTCCAGCATTATAAATCACCTTTTGGAGATCCTGCGTAACGTATTCAAAAGAGAGTACATGATCATGCCATCGAAATAGTCGTGTTCAACTATCCAATCAAGAATCACGTAAAGGATCCAAAACACCTCTGCGGCATTATTCCACGAACAAGCTAATTCAGAAAGAACCTCAATATCAAAAGTGAATATTAACATTGCAGACCTCACATCAAGGAGGTGACTCTTCGATTGATAATCCAACACCTTTAATGATGACTGTAAATTTTCGAGGAGTGGAAGAAGGTTTTGATCCCTCTGAACGATTCGATTAATTAAAATGTTTTTTTTTTGAGGATAGACGTCTGTAATGTCCGATGAAAACAATATAAAAGTCATCGTGAGACCAATTTCGGAGGTTATTTGGCGAATCAAAGTGGACCCTTCTCTCTCGGGTGACGAGCCGAGTAATAAACGAATCAAATCCTTAATATCGGAATGCAACCGCGAATTAAATGGATAAATCCAACGTAGCTTCATCAATGATGAATCTGGGTTCAGAAGAATGGGTATAACGTCGGGATGAATATGCGGAAACCAGTGAACAAGAACCTATATGATAGATGATGCATGAGATTTGCAGCGCCAATCGTATGCTTCCGACTAAAAAGGTCAAAAGAATACCTGAAGAAAACAATCAAACCATTCCTCAAAAACCGAGGCCGAACATTCTTTATTAAACCCATTTTGCACTTGAAGCAGCCAAAATTTGGTTGCCAAAACTTGATTTGGAACAAAGAATTCCTTTCTCGGAATACTTAAAGTCAGGATCGTCTGATTGCCTATGAAAAATGCAGAAAAGAAATACATTAAACAAGAGTGGCATGAAAATACATGAATGATCATGGGCGTAAATTAATACCTTTTTCAAACCACTCGGAGTCCATATATATTTCCGCAATCGCAAATATGAATTTTATTACGAATAAACGCAAACGATCAAACGGATGGTGAATGCTATGATCATTGGTGGCTGGCGCATCTTCCGTCTTTTGCGACAGAACCGGGACAATGGCAGCTGCCATCGCCTGAAAACAACTTGATTCGTAAAACGCACGCACCGTCAACCAACTATTTCTACGAAAGTGCTCAGCATAAAATTTACAGGCCATGATAATGAATACCTTAAGAGTACTTTTAAGTTAGCTATAATTTCTTCTTCGCTTTTAATCTTTTTATTGACTACATGTAGTCCATCTTGAGATACCGTTACACCAGAATGTTCTCCCATGTCAACCAAGAAGTTGTTCATCAGATCATATGCAAAGTTTAGATGCTGCGACCAGTAACGACCCAGCTTTTTGAATGAATCTACACAAGATAAATACATGGATTCAATAATTAGACATTAAAGAAATCGAAAGATACTCGAAAAATATACCAGAAATTTGTGAGTGCAAATCTAAACCAGGTGTATCGATATACCACCCAGCCAATAGGTCAATTATGTCCTGTATATTGAATTGGTTACGAAAGAACCCAGAAAGAAATCCTTCGGCGAAATAATTAGATCATACTTTACTTGAAAACGATCTTCAAACTCATCCGAGTAATTCTCTGCTATTTTATCCAGGACTTCGAGAACACCGGGAAAGCAATCAGGGCTATCCATCGAATCGAGTAAGCTTTCCAAATCGTGAAGAAGACCGGGAATGTACGGTTGACAATATTGAGAGGACACGCTAACAAAGTTACGAGAAAAAATCTTCACATATTGAAGGCGGACGAAATTTTAAATTTAAAAAAAGATCAAAGCCAAAAGTCGAGACACTGCGAAACGGCCATCTTCCACATACCTCTCTCAACGAGGCCAACAACCAAACCTTTCTCTCTTTCTCTTTTGATCCTGTTCCTAGCATATGCAATCTATCGAACACCCAACGAAAGTACAAGTTTATTTCATTATTCATAATTATGGCAGTTTGGGCCAAACATTTCGCCACGGCGGTTTTAAAAGTGGCTGGTGCCCTAGGAAAGAGCTTCACCCGTTAATGATCCTGGTAAGACTGATGAACCACGAAAAATACCAACACTACCGAAGATCTTCAAACAACACATCAAGGCCCTGCGAGTTTTCGGATCCTCTTGTCACCGCTTCGAAAATCTGCGATTTCTCCCAGGGGGTACACTGTTCTGCAAGTAAGTTAACAAGCTGATTGGCTTGTGCAGTCCGTCTGGAATATACCGACTCATTCTCGTCGCGTATCCGAGAAAGCAGCTGGTTTACGCGAGAAAGTTTTGCCGAATCTGCGTTTCAAGGAAATCTTAGCGTTTCATAAAAAAGAAAAGAGCATTGAGCATTTGCTCACCCCTATGTTCTTGGTTGAAGTGCTGTTGAACGTATGGTGGCGTTTGATGCGGACGATGCTGATATGAAGAACGCCTTCCATAGCGATTTCGTGATCCACTCATTTTTTTTTTTCCTTTTTCCTCTCCTCGCCTCTATGAATAAGCGATCTTGATTATCGATTCCTGCAATTATTAACCGTGAACACGTGATCAAATGATCTGCGTGCAAACGGTCTCAGATATAAAAATGCGGAGATTTTTTTTTTTATCGGTCAATTAAAAGATGATGTTATTAAAGAACCTGAGATTTTCGTGTGCGCGAATTGTTCCTGTAGGGTTGTTTCACTTCGTTTTGCTTCATTATTTAGGCAGAGAGATGCATTGCTTCAACACCTCAACGACATAAATTCAATCCAACCCAACTAACTTGAAATTTTGAAGGTGACCCGTTTGCATATACGCCAACTAAGTATTGCATCACCTCGGATGGTAAGTTAATTTTCGCGCTAGCGGCGAAATATGTGCGTACGACGCAAATCACGTGAACGGGCCTACTGAGCTAAATATCGTATGCATAAAAGATAATCACTCGATTCATTTTTCTTCCCACCCATTTTGGAAACCATGTCTGCCCAGCAAAAATACAGAATTGAAAAGGACACCATCGGTGAAATTGAAGTTCCCGCGGACCGTTATTGGGGTGCTCAAACGCAAAGGCATATTACAATAATCTTTTCAATGCTAATGCTAATTTACGGTGTCAAGGTCGATGGGTAATCAAGTAGCATATTTTAGGTCTCTGCAAAATTTTGACATCGGCGGGTCGACAGAACGCATGCCTGAGCCTTTGATAAAGGCATTCGGTGTGCTGAAAAAAGCGGCTGCCACGGTCAATATTAACTATGGTCTTGATCCAAAAATAGGTAAGACCATCATCGAGGCCGCTGATGAGGTATTTAAAGACACCAGAATGCAGTAAATTAAAGAATTCGCAATTATCATGAAAACGCATTGAGGCATTATCGTTTGAACAGGTAATTGAAGGAAAGCTTTTAGATCACTTTCCGCTGGTGGTGTGGCAGACCGGTTCCGGGACGCAGACCAACATGAACGTCAACGAGGTAAAGTTGGAAGGTATCGGTGATCGGAAGGTCGACAACTTACATATCATTTATCAATAATAGGTAATCGCGAATCGTGCCATTGAAATGTTAGGCGGCCAGCTCGGTAGCAAAAATCCCGTTCACCCTAACGACCACGTAAACATGAGTCAGTCATCCAACGATACGTAAGTAACTCTCGATTCACTTTATTATTCACAATTTTCAACTTTGACATTAAATGTGAGTTCTTCATACAAAAAATTACTCTAGCTTTCCAACCGCAATGCACATATCCGCTTCGGTCGAGATCAACAATAAACTTATTCCGGCCTTAACAAATTTGCGTAACGCTCTCGCCGAAAAATCCGAAGCTTTTGCGAATATAATCAAGATCGGTAGGACGCACTTGCAAGTATGATGATTTCTCGCTTTACGAATTATGAGAAATCGACGGGAGATGGACCCCGATTGAAATATTTCTGGTAATATTAGGATGCGACACCGCTCACTCTCGGAAACGAGTTTTCTGGCTACACTCAACAATTGACTTTCGGAATTGAACGCATCCAAGGAACGCTACCGAGACTATATAATCTCGCACAAGGCGGGACAGCAGTTGGCACTGTAGATAACCCAACCTTTTATTTATTTTTAATTTATGGCAATTACGCTGCTCCATTGACGTAACTTTGAAATCATGTTAGGGTCTAAACACGAAACCAGGATTTGATGTCAATGTCGCCGATGAGATCTCCAAGATTACCGGGTTGCCATTCAAGACTGCTCCAAACAAAGTTGGTCAAAATTATAAATTTTGATATTTTCCTTCGTATCCAGACGTTCTGATTGATTCTTCTGTAAAGTTTGAAGCGCTGGCAGCGCATGACGTGATAGTTGAAGTTAGCGGTGCCCTTAATACTGTCGCCGTTTCTTTAATGAAAATAGCCAATGATATACGTTTCCTTGGTTGGTTTTGAGTACTTTGAGAAAATTGCATTTTTTCCCAAAACATATTAGTTACAGTGCACGTCTACCACTTTTAGGCTCCGGACCTCGATGTGGTTTGGGTGAACTCTCCCTACCCGAAAATGAGCCTGGTTCTTCTATCATGCCGGGAAAGGTCAACCCAACTCAATGCGAAGCCGTAACAATGGTTGCGGCCCAAGTAATGGGGAACAACACCACCATCTCTATAGCCGGATCAAACGGTCATTTTGAGGTTCGTGGCTAATGCGAAACTCCTTGATCCCTTATTATTGTATTATTAATAAGGTTAACTAATCATCAATTATAGTTAAATGTTTTTAAACCTGTTTTAATAAAAAATCTGTTGCATTCAGTCCGTATCCTGGCAGATGCCAGTGAATCTTTCAGAAAGAATTGTGTTGTGGGAATAAAAGCTAATGAAAAGAGGGTGAGGTTCTTTTTCTTTTTCGTTTTCATTTTCGAATTGACGGAGAAGCAAACGGTTGATCCAAATAATTTTTTATAGATTAATGAAATTATGAATCAGAGTTTGATGCTTGTGACAGCGTTGAACCCACATATTGGTAAATAATTATCACTTTTCGTATGCAACTTGCGCGATGATCTTTAAGCCGAGTTTTCTTAAAATTCTTCAAAACAGGGTATGACAAAGCAGCGGCTGTTGCCAAGAATGCACACAAAAACGATTTAACAGTATGCCATTTTAATTTTTCCCCCTTGTTTCTTTCTTTCTTTCTTTCTTTTTTTTTTTTTTTGAATCATGATGAAAATTATATTTGTAACGTTGCGTTCTAAATCACATAACAGCTTAAAGAATCCGCTCTTCAGCTGGGTGTGCTTAATGAGGAGCAGTTTAATGAATGGGTCAAGCCAGAAAAAATGCTTGGTAAAGTTGTAAATTAATGCGTGCTGTTCTCATCGGTAATTGTTGTTCTTTTGAGTCAACCGAATTCTTATTTCAGGTCCCAAATAATCCCGGAGATTTTATCACAACGCATGTTAATTTATAACGACGCCGGTGCATGAACAATAACTATGATATCCTGAAGAGAAAAGTTCCGATATAAATTTTACAATTAACAATCGTCACGCCAGCTTTGCAATACTGCTATTCTGCTAAAATAAAAATAACGGGATCAAATTGTTTTCATTTTGTTATAAATAAAAATAAAAATGCAGAATTGCGCGAAAGTTAGTTTACTTGCTAATTTTATGTACGTGTGGCTGAGCCGGAGCTTTTGTTTGATTATTTCAAATAATAAGTCAAATCGCACAATCTTTCCGGTACGTACATGTAAATATGAAATGTTTCTCAAGGAAAATATTTACATGCGTATATTAAATTGCTCAAAAGTCAACTATACGTATACTGTAGGTACTTGCTAAATTAAAATATCACGCGAATTTTTTAATTTGTATACCATTTTATTGGAAAAGAAATTAAAAAAACGTGATTAAACAAATAAAACACCCATCTTTTATTTGACAATCTACGGCATTTAAAAATCAAAAGTAATTCGGTTAAAAGTGAAATTAAATATTGTATTAAGTAAAACGCGCGTATTTACTAAAAAATATCGAAAATCCAAGATGATCCGATACTTTCAACGAACACAGGTCGAAGCATATTAACAATTATGAATTATGACTCATGAAATACGTGTTGACCTTCTTTAGTGTAGCGCGTGTAGGATTGGCCTATGTGTCAGAAAACGAATACAGTGAGAAGAGGAGATATGAGATTTACATTTCTTTGATGTGCACGCATCATGTTGCAATGTAATGTATATATGTTACCTTGACTCTAAATGAAGTAATAAGCAAAAGTCTTTTTTGTATGAGGCCTTTTGTCACCACTGAGATTCGATTGTGCAAGAAATAAATTTAAAAATATGCATCAGAGACACAACGCCTGATCAATGAAAATAAAATAAAAAAGGGGAACATCCACCTTTATGATCAATTCCACCTTTTATGAAATTTCCTATACCCATCATAAAATGGACATATGCACTATAAGTTCTCACTTTAACTTCTTAACAAACTTATCACACGGAACTTTACCTTCGTCATCAAAATATTTCACCAATACAGCCAACCCGATGCCGACGCTTCTGTCAATTCCCTGTTTACAATGGATCAGAATTCTCTTCTTTTCCTCTAGAGGCTTCCCGACAAATTCCAAAGCAATTGGAATGCTTGCGAATAATTCATTTTGACCTTTTTTGCCCTCTGGAATTGAAAGTCGAAGATAATTGTTGCCATGAGGTGACGGGGGAATGGGTTCGGAATAAGAGTAGGGTTCCGGCGTGCAATTTATGATGCAATCAAAATTTTCCCAGCATGTCAACGGATTCGCTATTATAATATATTGATGTCAAATATCAATGAACAGGCGTTCAACTCAAACTTGTCAATAAAGGAAAACATACCACTTTTGTAATTTCCTATGGCGACATTTGTATTCCCAATGAAATTAAAAGGATGTGGGATGAGTTCAACACTTGAAAGTAATAATTCAGAATTTGACGCCTTGTGCCCATCCACAATTTCCTTCACTTTTCTTTCACACTCCATTGGATCATTCGTGTCCAATATTACTTCTCGATGTTTCCAAAACAGTGATGGCGTCAATCCCTAAAGAGTATTATTATTTGCTAATGGTCAGATACCCTTTGATCACAAGTAATGGGGTATGAGCGTTACCATTGCCCACATTTCGTGGTCATCCGCTGAACCTTGAACGTAAACATATCCTTGCCTTCTTTCCGATCCCATATCCACCATCTGTGAAGCGCTTAAACAGATTACCGGAAAAAATGGCATCGATGAGTAATTCGGAAGATCGTGCATGAATACATTTGACGATGGTGTGAACCATAGTGGTCTCAGCGGTTTTTTTAGTCTGCCCGACAGAGAACTGATGTCAAATCCAGAAGTCTATGAAATAAAACAAGAAGTCTCATGTTGATACCATGAATCCGAATATTTTGGGTATGGTGAAGAATCACTTACGATAAGATCTCGCGCGAATCTTTGTATTAATGAGATAATTTGAGAACGCTCGGAATTGGATATCACGGAAGAGAGTGAATGAAATTCGGTATCCCACTCATCTAATTCTTCCTGCAACAAAGAAAATTCCGACTTCGAAATCACACGAGCATCGTTGTTCTTTGAATCTCGATATTCTTTGATGGCAAGATTTATCGTGCAACACCATATTGGAATGGTTTTTGACAATGAGTCGGGTAAACGCTTTCCGCGGCGCGTTGAATCAACAATTATACACCTGGCGTTTAATTGGAAAGATTCATAAAATGCATAATAAAATGTATACACAGTATAACTGCCGTAGTGAGTGTATTATCGGATGATTAATGTAACCCACCCACGGTGTTTCATAATAACGTCCAAAAGATGAGCATTCAGTCTACGCATATTAAATGCCCAATTTCCCGTGTGCCCGTCAGTCGATTTGAAATATACACTTTGGGCACATAACTTTGTCTTTTCCGTTTAATTAAAAGATCAGGTTATTAAATATAAATACGCATATGTACAGATTGATCACATTGCATTGAAAATTCAATTCAACTGTATACGTAATTACCTCTTGAGGATCGATATACCAGGTGCCGCAACGCTCGTTCGCTTGAAAGTGACAAAGGTTTTATTTCCTCTCGAAGTAAAAGCTTCTCAGAAAGACAGCCGGATAATCCACGTACCTACGACCGGTAAATATGGTAACATATTTGAAACGTTACTGACAAATTTGGAATCTTCGTAGATTGATTTCAGTCTATTATATCTTTGATAAAAAGACATCTCATCAGACTATTGTAAAATGATCGTGAAAAGAAGTTAAAGGCAAAACAAACGAAACATACATGTTCTTGGAATCTTTGTGAATCTGTTCACTATCATAATGAAAGCCAGCTCGAGTCGCCCGACTATCCGCATCATGATTAAGGTAATTTTGCGAGAATATTATAGAGGACAACGAAATATCCGAGGAATTGTTTTGAGGCATGATGAAGAGGGAAAGAATGGTCTTATAGTAGTAGGTATGACAAACAATCGTCATTTGTAGATTAAGAATACACATCTTTCTTGGTGAACTGCAGTATGTATAAAATAATTTTACACTGGTAATAATACTGTAAGAAGGATATCGGACAACTTTAATTAAAGCCTTTCTTTGATCATTCGCTTTGAAGATAGTAAAACTTTTACATCGCATCATAAACAATTTAAGATCAGTTGATGCATGAAAATTCTTTCACAAGTACTGTATATCTGCTATGATTTTTTTCAACTTCCGTGTTTTGTTTGATTCCAAACATATAAAATATTGTACCCGAGAGGGCGGTGTATATCAATAAGTGGACTTAGATTAACTGGAAAATTTTGTCGCACAGTAGTCATTTAAATTTTGAAAAGTACGCGGAAAAAACGTGATAATAATAATTTGCAAGAGTAATTACGAACGCAGTATACTTCGGTTTAAAAGTTCGAGCAGCATAAATGAATAATGTTTACAAAAAGTTTTCAAAAAAAAAAAAAAAAAACTCCAGTATGAGACTGTCACCTCACGATTCTATTAGGTGTTACCGTCCTGATGCTGGAATTGGATGTCATTGCGAAAGGAGTTCGCGTTTGTGAAAAAGACGCTAATAAACGAATCAAAAAAAAAAAAAAAAAAAATTTTTTTTAAAATATAAGCAAGACGATAAACTAGACGATAAACAAGAGTGGATGTAATTTGTTACCTTTTGATTGGAACGTACTATTTGTATCGCTTCCATCAACCATTTTTCTGCCACTGCCCCCTAAACAAGAGTTAAAGGGAGTTGGTTCTCTTATGGCCGAATAATCTTGCGAGGGGATTTGTTGCTGTGTTTTGTTATTTTCATTATATATTTCGCGAGTGTTTTCTTTAAGATCATTAATTAATACGGTCGTAACCAGATTGTACGTATACCAAGAGATTGCTATCATTTACCATTGCTTGCGTTCCATGTTGGT